AACTCACAAATTAAAGACTGCTGCTATCGATGTCCAGCTTCATTTTCTTGGATGGCGTGTGTTTTCTGGATGTCCTTTTTCCTTTTACTTGCCCTGGCTTCTTATCCTTTGCCTTTGGGAATCTTACAGCCCATCCATTTCTTGTGGAACGAACAAGTCCAGAAAATTTATATTGCTTCAATAATTTTGCGAAATGTTTTTTTCAGTTGCCGATCTGAAAATTGGAACCAGACATCCTTCTGGACTCTAAAATGTTTGAATTCATTGCAGAGGTTAAACTCTCCCAATCCACAAAAGGCTCTTTGCATCTCTCTGTATTGCGCTTGGACGAGTGCGAGGATTTTATGCACAAACTCAACCAGCTTTAATGATTTCCACTGCGTGGATGTTGAGTTATGACAGTATCATTCGATTTTTTTTTTTGTTGGTTTAAATAATTTATTTAGGATCAACAAGTATCCAAATACGATAATATCGTATTGCAGATCAATATTTTATCCACGGAGTGATAGATAGCATAGCAAATAACATCATATCATAATTTTTTAAAGTAGATTTCGGTGGTTTCGGGAGGTTTTAGGTGGTTTCGGGTGATTTTGGGAGGTGTCCGTTGTTTTCATGAGGTTCCTGTATAAAGAAGTACAGTAATACAACTAGTGGCTGCATAGCTCTAAAGAGACTGAACTCAAAGACAGTTTCCTTAAATATCATTATAGTATATATTATGCCCTCTCCTCGAGAAGTGAAGAAGAAATAGAATCTTATTCATAATGATTTGCAAACAGTAAAAAAAAATTTTTTTTAAAAGGATGTGCAGAGAAAGCAGCTTACTATACATAGAGACCTTAATTTATGTCAAAGTAGGAGAAGGTGAAGACAAGGAACTTGGTCCGTACTTATAGAATTCCACGGCTTAGAAAACTGAAACGACAGAGGCGATAAACTTACAGCAAACGTTTGCAGAGCCATTGAGCTTGTTATTACTAACACTACTATAAAACAGATAGCCAGAAAGAGTTACACTTATATCTGTCATTATCACCCGGCACCAATTAGACTACATCGTGACAAATAGAAGATAGAAAAAACCTTTGCCATGAACCCAAGTACTAGACCAGGGTCGAGTTGACGGTGACAAACACCGTTCTGGAAATATTGTACAGGTTTACTTAGCAGTACTCTTAGGTTATTTATTAGGCGGTACATCTTAACCTCTGTCTTCGAAAGAGCAGATCATTCTGATAACCGGCGGCTCTCGTGGCCTGGAGGTCAAGGTGTTGGCCTGTCATTCAAAGGTCCCGGGTTCGAATCCGGGTAGCAACCGAATAATTTTCTTCTAAAAAATTGTCTCCTTTCACCTCTTTTCCGGCTCTCTAGCAGTGTTCTGTCGCCTGCTTTCGTCTCCTCTTTCTGTCCCCCACCCCCTCACCTCCTTTGCCCTTCCTCTTGGCCCCTGGCTCTTTCTGCAGCCTTTCTACTGCTACTCCTTGGCTCCTTCTTACCGCCGTCTTTCAGCCACACCCCTGACCTTCTGGTAGGAAAGATATACGCCTGGCCTTCTCGGACAAGGGCGAAAAATCTCGGAGGGCCAGTGTGCAAGTTGCGCACGTTAAAAGATCCCTTGGTGGTCTAAAAGCGTAAGAGTA